ATCCGGGTATCGTCTCTCAGGGACTGGTACAACCTTATGATTTATCAATTCTTTCGAGCAAACTATATGTCAAAATGTTTAAGAGATGAAATTATTAACTATTAGCAAAATAATTAAACTAATTAAGCAAAGTAAACTTGTCGAGGAAAATTCAATGGGAGAAAGCTCTGGGAGAAACACCGGGATTCACTACCTATCCTATCCAGATTAATTCACATCTTCCAATCAATTTAATCCATACCTCTACAGCCAGGATATCACTACTGTGCTAGCTATCCCTGTCGGGAATTACTACGTACTAAATGATCAATTCAAATCCTACTGTCGTAGCTCAATGAATTAATTATATAGTCTTATGCCCGATATCCTATTCAAGACCGCATAGCACCTTATTTAATCCACTGTCGCTTCGATAAGTTACTATGTCACATGAAATAGGTTCAGTTAATAGGTTTCACTGTCGCTAATAACCTAATCAACTACAAATCAATGTATTGGTGGCCAGTCAACACAAAGCATTAAGTAATTTCATGCAGTAGAGATTGGAAGAAAAGAATCATGAATCAATCCATCAAATCAAGAGATAGCTACATCCTATGGTGTTTCCCCTAGAAATTGGGGTTTAGTTCATGACGAAATTAAGATAAATCGATAGGGTTTTGTTCATCATGTTCTAAAACAACAAGAAACAACTAATTCGGTTTAGAAAATCCAACCAACTAATCGCTCTCGTTGAACTCAGCTCAGGTAGCCTTGGAAATCTCAATCGCCGATGGAAATCGACTGATCGCCTTTTTGCTCTGCTGCCTTGCGCTTTCTTTCTCTCTCAAAGAATTCTGCCCGCCCAATATTGTCTCTCGTCCCAATAATCTTCCGCCCAAGAATTCTGCTCTGCGCCTCTTTCTTGCTTAATTCCAAGAAATTCGTCCGCTCTCCCTTACAAAAGAAAGTCCACCTCCTTTTATTGCCTGCCACCCTTATTTGCCTTCTCCCTTTAGAATTCGCGTCCCAAACCCAGTCGTGTCCCTTTGGCCCAATCCAATTAATTCCCAAAAGAGAATCCCGTCCAAGCCTTCCTCCCTTTTCCCCTTAATTCCGTCCACCAATTAATTGCCACCCCTCCTAATAAGCTCTGGCCCACTTGCTTTTCCAAAGAATTCCGTCCCACCATTCCTCTCAAGCCTGTCTTCCTGGCCCAAATATTACTCCAAAGATTTTGCCTCCTGGCCAATTCTAATTCCGCAGCCAGCTCCATAATTCTGGCCCAATCTTCTTTTGTCTCATCCCCTGCTCCTGGCCCACAAATTCTTCCTGGCCCATTTGAGTATTCCACCAGTGATTCGAGTTCGATTAATTGCTTGTGCTTCTTTCGTGCTTTCTCCACTTGTAACATATCAAACTCATGGCACTAGGCAGTAATGGTTTTTCAACCATCCTCGGGTTAGCGAGCCCTAAAATAGCACCAATCGGCTTAAACATATCATAGATAATCACATAAAGTCCAAAAATTCAATATGTTAAAGCCAATTATCACAACCCCACACTCAATTGTTGCTTGTCCCTAAGCAACGACTCAAACAACACAAACACATAACCATCCAAAACAATGACACATTACAGACTCAACACTCAAAGCAAAACACAAAATTTCCTTGTACTCTTGTTGTAATCAGTAGTTTCTTTCTCAACGAACAAGTTGTGCTCTAATGGTCATACCTTTCACCCCACACTCAAGTTCTTTACAACCATTACCATTGACTGACTCAAATCCATCAAAAACTCAAATAGCAACACTCACTTCAGGTCGTCAGTAGCGGGTGATTAACAACTTATGGTGCAGCAGTTATTAGGAGAATCTAACCACATCAGTGAGGTGCATATCTCGTGAGGACAGTCTGGCTTACTCACACCAATCATAAGCAATCAATCAATCATGAGTCTCAAAAAACTAATGGGGGAAGCCTTTCGCAAACATGATTTTACTTTAAGCACATCACTACCTTTTATGACAAGGAGAGGTTTTCTCTCTTTCTGCTTTTGCTTGCCGAGAAGTCGTATTTAGTACAAGTGGGATTTGTTTCTTACTACCGGTGACCGAGCAAGAGCAATTTCTGCTTCTTAGCACTCGCATAAGGGCTTCTTTTAACTCCTTTTCCTCGGTCTGTGTGGAGGGTCATTGCTCCTCAAATGGCACTTCACTCAACTGGGGATCGTACTTGATAAGCAACATCGTACGGTCGCGAATCGATTCTCAATTGAATCTTTCCTCATCCCCATGTGCAATGAGTGATTGCCTCACACGATTTTGGCATTTTTACCCACTTTAATTGTTATGGCAACTTTCTTATATTTTACTTGTCAGGTAGTGTTTTCTTTTATAAAGATACAGTTCACCCCATTTAAAACATTCAAAACAGAGAGACTCTTTGCAAAATCAAAATTTCACAATTGATGCAAGTAAGCACGGTATCCAAACATATCGAATGGTCAATGTTCTCCACCTAACTACTTCACCAAAAGTCATTACACTATCCTCACAAAAGAGAATGTTGCTAAAAGAGTTTGCTAATTCAAAGCACATCAAGTCAGTCAAAACATCAAGCTCATTGTGAAGAACTTTGCAATTCAACACTAGTAGGGGTGATTTCGATGATTTCATTCAAGTACAAACTCATTTCACACGCATCACAGTCATTTACATCATGTTACCACAAGAGTACAAGGTTTTGTTTTTTTTATTTTTCTGATTTTTAGGTGTTTTTTTTAACACAAGACGAGACACTGTGGACAACTACGACTCGACATAAAACACGACAAGAACACAGACCATCCACCCCACACTCAGGATGGACATTGTCCACAATGTATACAACTACACACGACACACCAATCGGTTCACCTAAATAACATTATACAGACCATCATCAGAAGTATTCACAAAGAAAAGAAGAAAAGAAGAAAAAGAACCTCGGGACAAGCTCCTATGGAGGAGGGGTCGATGCAGAAGTGCCGAGCTTCTCATCTAGACGCCGGTTTAGCTCCTGGATCTTCTTATCTTTCTCTGCGTCTCTGGCTTCCAAGAGAGCTATTCTGGCTCTGAGCTCGTCTGTAGATGATGGTGAAGCTGGTACGACTGGTGGAGTATCTTCTGGATGCGGAACTGGAGTAGGATGGGACTGCTGGCCCTGGCTGACACTCGAGTCCGAGTGCCCCGCTGCTGTGGGTGTAGGAGCTGGAGCTTTGGTCGGAGTGGCTACTGATGGTGCGGCAGATGATGCCGAAGCAGAAGTTGCTCTAACAGCCCTTGCTTCCCTTTTTCGATTGACCTTGGTCTCCCACTCCTTGTATTTGGCGATAGATAGATACTCTCCACGAGATCCTACTTTCCTCAGAAAACCCAATTTGCCTAATGCTGCTTCCCCAAGCAGAGTCGAGCCATCACTGATCTCCAAACCCGTAGGGTTCTCCGGGAACCCCCAGTAAGCTCGAGCTAAGGCAGTAATGATTCCCCCACACATAATTGCTCCGCAAGTCTTCAGTGCATCATTTTCCAGCATCTTACCCACCATGTACCCAACACACAATGGTGTTCCAGTAACAAAACTGTGAATGTACCTGAGATCGGTGGTGTAGACACCACTGGCATTGGATCCCTTTCCCAAGACAGTGCGAGCCAGGTAGTCATGTACTAGTGGGATTATCGGGTCTCTGATCGATGCTCTCCTCGAAGAAGTAGGATTGAAGTCCTTTCCATCTGCCACAATTGTCGTCCAAAACTCACTCAAGTCCTGCTTTTCATAAGGAATTGCATCTGCTGGACCATCGAAGAGAAGTGCTCGGTTTACTTGGCTCAAAGAGAGGGACTTGGTTTTCCCGGCCAAAGTACTTTGAAGCTTGCTCTCAACCCCATTATCCTCGAAGCTGTATGTGGCCAAGAATGCTCTGGTGAGGTGTGGAGATGTGGGGAAGTGCAGCTCCGAAAATCGTGCCCAATTCATCCTGCGGAAGTATGTCATCACCTCCTCAGCCCGCTCGGTCTTCTGCAATGCTGGGTAATCCATGAACTGAGAAGGGGTGACCGCTCGTTTCATCAGATCGGCATATTCTTCCTTATGTTTCTGCAGCTGGACAGGTTGACCGAACGTCTTAGAGACGTCCTTTGGAGGAGGAGTGCCAGCCTTCTTCTTGCTTGCACTTAGGCTAGTACGACGTGGTGTCGTGGATGGTGCAGGTGTTGAAGAAGAAGGCATCTGTGATCGTGAAGAAGAGATTGGTTGCTGGAGACGACTCCTCTTCGCTGGCCTGCTCTCCGGTGATACAACTGGTGTTGAATCTGGTAATGGAGGTTCTTCTGTAGGCATTTGAGCAGGCTGCTATGGTGGAGATGGAGTTGGAGAAGTCATCTCAATGGTCCGGGACCGCATCGTGGGTCCAACCTGGCCGGTGATCACCCTGTGAAATCGAGCGGGCATGTTGACTGCTTGAAGTTGTGGAGGAACTTCTGGAATTGGGCTGTCTTTATCGGTCACCTTGTGGCTGTCTTCAATCATCCACGAATGGTAAACAATCTTCCCATCTTCACTTTGATCGGTTACCTTGAACTGCCGAGGTGGAGGGGTATATCTTTGACGTCCCATATCTGCAACCAAGAGTGCAAACTGGAAAACAAACTTCTCAACCCACCACTCTGCTCTTGAACCACCAAGGTTTCACAAATCTGTACTCTGCTTCCCAAATTCCAGGTCACTGCTAACACAATCAGAAAATTTCCAAATTCCGCAACCCTCAAACCAACCAATTCTCAACAATCACCCATAAATCTTCTGTTAATATTCATCCAGACAGTAAGTGCACTTCAATTGCCCAATCAAGCAATCATCACACTCCAATTTCACCTCAAAATCGAAATTGAGCAAAACCCCCAATCTGAAGAACCCTATTTTTTTTTTGTTCTTGAATCTTCAATTGTTAGGGATTTTCAAATCAGACCTGGGGGAAGGATGATTGGAGCGGATCGGAGGGTTGGAACGGGGGTGCTCGGTCCGACGACGGCCGCCGGAGACGGCGGCGCTAGGGCTCGCCGAAGGCAGGGACGGTCGGCGGAGGGAGAAGGAGGCGGCGCTGGGGATGGTCGGCGGGGCTCGCTGCTGGTCGGGTCGTTGGCGCGGCGGAGCCTGTCGGGGGCTGGGGGCGGCCCGGCGGCAGTCCGGCGTGAGGGCGGCGGCTGGGAGCGTTCTCCTCTGCTGCTGTTCGGCGAAGGGGAGGGAGGAAGGGGATTCGGGGAAACCCCTTCAATATAGTGCTTGAGCCTCTGAACATTCACCTTAAACGCCCCTTGATCACCAAGAATCTCGATTGCACCATGTGGGTACACTTTGGTCACCGTAAATGGTCCGGACCACCTTGACTTTAATTTTCCAGGGAAGAGTTTAAGGCGTGAGTTGAAAAGTAATACCTTTTCTCCCACCTTGAACTCTCTTCTCAGTATGTGGTGATCGTGCCACTTCTTGATTTTCTCCTTATAAATCCGGGCATTTTCATAGGCATTAAGCCTAATCTCATCGAGCTCATTCAATTGCAACAGGCGCTTCTCTCCAGCAGTTTTTAGATCAAAGTTCAGCTTCTTGATAGCCCAATACGCCTTATGCTCGAGCTCGACTGGCAAGTGGCAAGCTTTTTCAAACACCAATCTGTACGGAGATATGCCTAAAGGAGTCTTGAAAACAGTCCGGTATGCCCAGAGTGCATCATCTAACTTCCTTGCCCAATCTTTCCTTGTTGAATTCACCGTCGTCTCCAGAATGTGTTTCAGTTCTCTGTTGGAAACTTCCACTTTCCCACTGGTTTGTGGATGATAAGGTGTAGCAACTCGATGCTTAACACCATATCTGGCCAGCAACGTGTTCAACTCCTTTCCCATGAAGTGTGTCCCCTCGTCACTGATGAGAACTCGAGGGACTCCGAATCTGGTGAACACGTTCTTCCTCATGAAATTCACCACCGTCTTTGAGTCATTGGTGGGCAACGCCACTGCCTCCACCCACTTGGATACATAGTCGACTGCGACTAAGATATATTTGTTATTGAAAGACGGTGGGAATGGCCCCATGAAATCCACTCCCCATACATCAAACATCTCTACCTCCAAAATCGAGGTCTGCGGCATCTCCATCCTTGCAGATATGTTCCCTGTTCTTTGGCACCTATTACATTGAGCAACAAAATCACGGGCATCTCGAAATAGAGAAGGCCAATAAAATCCAGATTGTAACACCTTTGCTGCTGTCCTATGAGGTCCAAAGTGGCCTCCTACGGCCATACTATGACAGAAATTTAGCACTGACTTTACTTCACATTCAGGAACACATCGTCTTACCATGGTATCAGCACAATGCTTGTACAGGAAGGGGTTTTCCCATATATAATTCTTGGCAATAGTAATCAACTTCTTGCGCTGTTGATAAGACAAATCAGGGAGCTTACCTGTGGCGAGATAGTTCGCAAGATCTGCATACCAGGGAGCTTGTTGGACAAGGAGAGCATAAAGCTGCTCGTATGGAAAAGACTCATTGATCTCAACCTTGTCCTTAGGAATGGCCTCAAGCTCAAGTCTAGAAAGGTGATCGGCTACCAGATTAGCCGAACCTTTCTTGTCCCGAATTTCAACGTCGAATTCCTGCAAAAGAAGAACCCAACGAAGCAATCTCGGCTTGGCCTCCTTCTTTGAAAGAAGGTGCCTTATAGCTGCATGGTCAGTGTACACAACAGTTTTCGATCCCATCAAATAAGATCGAAATTTATCAAAAGAAAACACCACAGCAAGCAGTTCTTTCTCAGTAGTGGAATAGTTCAATTGTGCATCATTAAGAAGCTTACTTGCATAGTGCACCGCATGCAACTTACCTTCCTTCCTCTGCCCCAAAACTGCCCCGACTGCATAGTCGCTAGCATCGCACATAACTTCAAATGGTAAAGTCCAGTCGGGTGCAGTGATAATGGGGGCAGAGGTTAACTCCTTCTTAAGTCGATTGAAGGCCTGCAAACACTCATCAGAGAAGTTACACACAGTATCTTTGGCCAACAAATCACATAAAGGCTTGGTGATCTTTGAGAAGTCTTTAATAAATCTCCGGTAAAAACCGGAATGACCTAAAAAACTTCTAATTCCTTTTATTGTGCTGGGAGGGGGAAGTTTTTCTATGATTTCAATCTTAGCTTTATCAACTTCTATCCCCCTCGCCGAAATTCGATGACCAAGCACTATACCTTCTGTCACCATGAAGTGACATTTTTCCCAGTTCAAGACTAGATTAGTCTCTTCACATCTCTGCAAAACTCTAGACAGGTTAGCCAAGCAATGTTCAAAGCTAGTACCAAAAGTCGAGAAGTCATCCATGAAATCTTCAAGACTCGATTCTAACATGTCAGAGAATATGGCAGTCATGCACCGCTGAAAGGTTGCTGGTGCATTACATAATCCAAAAGGCATTCTACGATATGCAAAAACACCAAAAGGACATGTAAAAGCAGTTTTCTCTTGATCCTCCGGTGCTACTGGGATCTGAAAATAACCGGAGTAACCATCTAGGAAGCAGTAGTGAGAATGACCCGCCAACCGTTCGAGCATTTGATCAATAAAATGAAGAGGGAAGTGATCCTTTCGGGTCGCCTCATTCAGCTTCCTTTAATCTATACATACTCTCCAGCCCGTAACAGTTCGGGTAGATATCATCTCATCCTTATCGTTTCTCACTACTGTCATTCCTCCCTTTTTAGGGACCACATGCACGGGACTAACCCAAGTACTATCAGAGATAGGGTAAATAATACCTGCATCCAATTGTTTCATTACCTCCTTATGCACCACTTCTTTCATGTGCGGGTTTAGTCTCCGTTGTGCCTGGACGGAGGGCTTGGACTCCTTCTCTAGAAGGATCTTATGCATACAAAATGCTGGACTAATGCCTTTGATGTCGGCAATAGTCTAACCTAAAGCCTGTATGTGCTGGCGTAAGACCTTCAAGAGCTCATGTTCCTGCGAATCAGTCAGTGTAGCAGAAACAATCACAGGTAAAGTGGAGTTTTCCCCCCAGATATGCATACTTAAGGTGACTAGTCACAGGTAAAGTCGGAGGCTGGATCCGAGATGGAACCATTTTCTCTGGAAACTTAGCCTTTTCATCACCTTCCACCTGCATAGGCAATGCCTCGAGCATTTGTGCCCTCTTTGACACGATTAGCTCATCAAGTTCATTATCAGAATCATCAAACTCAGAATCAGCATCATAATCATTGTTCAAGACAGCATTAGTGCATGATTCTATGACATCCACAGCAAACACATCACTTGAGTCATTAGGGTACTTACTTGCATGGTATACATTGAATTTTACCTCTTCCCCACAGACTCTGAATTTTACCTCTTCCCCACAGACTCTAAATCGAGCACGAAATCTCAATAACTATGGACAACGTGGTGGCTAAGCTGAAATAGACCCGTAGGAACTCGACACACTTGTTTTAGGCCTACGTTTCTTCCCAGAAAACCTGATGTCTGTCTTATAAATAGACTCCTAGGAGGTAGAAGTTCAGTAGCCCATGATAGAAGGCACTAGAAGGTTGTTACTCTGCCGATAGTGACTCTCCTATTTTAGAGCAAAGTCGAACTTAGAGGTCGAAATGGCGCTAGAAACTACTGTGTAGCCACTAATTCTTGGTTCTGACCGTCGATTCATAGGGTGATATGAGAATCTCATTTTAACTAATGTTCCCAGGTTGGCGAACCCTAGAGGTTCTTTAACTATGTAACTCTTGGTTTTTGTACTTATGAGTTTGATTTCATCTATCTTTTCTGTTTGATTTATTTGCTTGGTTTGTTATTGATTCAATTGCGTACATAAGGTGATAACTATTTTAAAATGATATATTCTAAAATCCGACTTCGTGGGTGGATGAAACTAGACACATGGGTCCCTCAATCCTCAATTGATCAAACTACATCAAATTCCTCAAAGGAGATATTTGTAGGGTCCATATTGTTGCCTATTAGTCGTGGTAAATGCCACGACACATGTTAGGAATGAACCTACCATGGTTCAAATAGTTTATATGCTGATAGGATCAAGGTTTACGAGTCAAATGAACTCTAGGGAGAGCTTGCCTATGCAATGCCTCATGTTTCCTTTACCTACTAGTAGAATATTTTTAGTTTCTTGCACTGTTTTTTTGTTCTTCGTTCGCTTTGTAAAATCATTGGGAACTTCAACCACGGAGGAACCTTAACCTCCACATTCTCGTTTTAAATCACATAGAACTCGTTTCTCACCACCTAAGTAATATGATCTTGGTTTTCAAACTAGGTAAATTTGCATACACATACTACACACGATCAGCTTTCACAAGTCCTTCATCTGGGTTGGATGACTCCATCTTTTCCATCTTGGTGTTTGGGTTGGATCCTCATCCATACATGTGGTTGTTGGGAAACGGTTATGCTTGTAGCATCAGTGGCGATGGATGTTTAACATGGGTGGTGTGTTTGACAATTAAGGTTTGGAAATCTTTATCGTATGATTGGGCTTTTGACTTGTAATTTTTTGTCCATGTATGGCTACTTGTTTGGGCCTTTTGGAAATGTTTTCTTTGCTCCTGGGGTAGAATATGTATGGATGTTTCCACTCGCATTGTTCCATTTGCTTACTTACAGGTTGTTTGGTACCAAATGAATCGAGAATTCATTTCAATGTAAATGAATTACCGTGTAGAATTCATTGTCAAATGAAATCTTGTGTTTGGTACGTCATATTCAAATAAAACGAATTGCCATGTAGAATTCATTGTCAAATGAATTCTTGTGTTTGGTATGTATATGTATAAGTGATTTAGTTAATAAAATAGGATAATTATGTCATTCTATTATAATTAGTAAATACTTGTGGAATTCATTTGGAAATTACATCTCAATTCTTCCGAATTGCTATAACTAGTTCCAATTTCATAGAATTTAAAATTTAGAATTGGAAATGAATTTTTTCAAATACCAAACACAAAAATGTTTCATTTCAGAATGAATCTTCAAAACTTATGAAATTCATTTATAACAAACAGTATGTTAGTGAATCACTTTAAAGATAAAAAAAGCGATAGGCATTGAAACACAACTTCTAGAATCTAGACCACTTACTTTCACTTTTCTGTTAAGACTAAATTTCAATTTTGTTTTTATATAAGTTGAAACCCCATCACTTTATTCATGTGAAAAAAATATTTTAATTATGTGTGTGCCGAGCCCACACTCTTTGTCCTTGGAACCACGCATTCCATGAGGATATATAATATCATATTTCAACCCCATAAACAAAATTAATAATGGGGAAAAGATTTGGATTCTTTGTAATCCACGCATATCATGTATGTGAGTCACTCATTTTTATGAACTTGTTGAGCATAATTTTATATGACTGATCTTCCATGGTTGTTTTATCTGTGACTCATCTATTTCACTCCATTCATGGATTAAATATAAAGTTATGTTTATTTGCTACTATTTGTAGCGTGAACTTTAATTTAAAAAATTTATAATTTTAAAATTTTAGAAATATCAAATTTCTCATAATTAGAAAAATTCTATATTTTCATTTGAGAGAATTTATTTCCTACATTATCCAATACTCTTTCCAATATATTTTCTACATTTTCCGAGCCAATTTGATTAATTTAATTAATCGTAAACATTTTATTTGATAAAAAAAAATAGAAATTATATTTTCATTAAGTGCTAATTGTCGCAGTTACCAAACAATTCCCATTTTAAAATAAAATTTTCAACAATTATGAGAGTTATGATATTCGGATTTAATTGGGTCCAGAAAATCCATGTCTAAGAGTTGTGAATTAAATGTATTTTATTTTCCCTAGTTTTCTTAATTGTCTCTTATCTTCTTTGTTCTAACTAATATTTCAATTTTTTTTTGCAAAGATGGAACGAGTTCGTTGTTACCAACTTCATACCATATGATATTTCCTTCGTTTTAAAATCATTTTTGAAACACATAAGAGACGTTGATGGAAGTTGGGTTCATCGAGAGGTCGAGAAAGATTATGTATGCATCTCAGTTAGTGATTGCTTTCGTGTCAATATGCCTGTCTTGAGCACTCATGCTGAGAAGGATTAGTTGAGAAGATGCTGAACAAACAAGCCAAGGCTAACTAGAAATTAATCAAGGCGCTCTACTAGAGAGCTTCAGCTGGAGAAAGAATTACAAGCTGAAAGGGCGTAAAGGCCAGTTTAAAGAGAGAATTCTGAAAGGTAGAGCCAGCAGTTTGAGGAGCAAATTGAAATTCAACAGACCAAACTGCAAAATTAGGACTCTTAAGTTTTGAAGAGATGCAAACATCACACCACCGACTTGAAGCTACTCTGCTCTGCTCGAGTTGGTTGCCAAAATGAATGGACAAAACAACTACAACAGGTATTATATGTTTCACTTGACATATTGGATGGTGAATTAATTGTAGACCCAAAAATTATAGGTTTTAGGAGTGTTGTGTTAATTGATGTTGTTTCTACATGCTTGTTTCAAGTTCAGATCTCAAACCAACCTGTTCATGCACAAGATGAACTGCTAATTGTTGATGTACTAATCATGAATGAAAATGACAAACTATTTTTGTCACAATATTTGTTTCATAGAACGTGAATTAAAATTACAAAATGTGGACAAAATATTCGTCACAGCAAAAATATCGCAAATCGTGAGAAATATTATTTGTCATAATACTGGTTAAAAATGTGGCAAAAAATAAAAATATGATAAACCATGTGACAATCAATATCGCGTCACAACCTACGGGTTCATCACAATAGCTAGGTATCCGTAAATAATGTCTATTGTGAAAAAAATGGTAGAGTGTGGTCACAACAATATCACCTTGTTATCACAAATTATGCTCGCCACAATACGATAAACCACTATTGTGATGAAACCTAACATGTTTGTCACAATAGATCTATTACGATGGGGCTATTGCAACATGACTTTGTGACAAAGAATTTCAGTCACAAGAGGAATGTGGTGAAGAAATAGACAACTATTGTCTACCGTAACACAAACTATACGTCATCATAGACCAAAAAAAAAGTTGTAAACATGATTTTTCATACTCCATGAAATATTTTATTTTATTTAAATATGGATGTAAATTTGAACATATTTGCATTCGAATACGTTGCCTCCATTTAAGTGTTAATGATTTCTTACTTTTCTCTACACATGTTTTGCCAAAACCAATATTAACTCACATAAACTAATTATACCATCAACCGTATCATACAAGATAAAAAATATAAATCGATTTGATCACAACGTTGCTCATGTGCAGAGCACTTGAAAGTTCCAAAAAAGTGCGCGCTCTGTACAGTGACAAGACATGTGGGCAGGGCGCAGGTGAGCAGAGCAGAGCAGGGGCCACTCTCTTTCTCAATCACGCTCCAATCCATACTCCGCTCACTCTCTTTCTAATTATTCTTCCTTTTTATATTGTCAATTATTGGAATGACAACCACCATTCCACTATTATCGATCCTCTCACCTACCAAAAGATCTTGTTTAAAAAAAAGATATATCTCATTATTATCTCTTTCTATCCCACCAACCAAAGCTTGCATGCAGCCCAAAACCCTACATAAGGAAAGACATTTAATTCCCAGGACCCAAAACTTCTCTCATCATTAATTAATCTCTAGCTAGACACTCACCTCTCAATCATGGAGTTGGTAGGCAAAAATGGCGAAGAAAGCACGAGAGAGCTTCTGGAAGCCCAGATCCAAGTATGGCACCACGCCTACAACTTCATCACCTCCATGACAGTCAAAGCCGCCGTCGAGCTGGGCCTGCCGGATGCCGTCCAGGCCCACGGCGTCCCCATCTCCCTCCCGGAGCTCACCTCCGCATTGGGCATCCCCCAGCCCAAAGCCCAGCACTTCCACCGCCTGCTCCGCGTCATCGTCAACTCCGGCTACCTCTCCCTCCACAAACCGCCACGGGGTCACGAAGCAAATGATGATCATCATCATCAGGAAGTCACTCGATACTCTCTGACGACCGCCGGCCGGCTCCTGACGCGGGACAACCCGTACAAGGCCGGCGCATACCTCCGGATGGTCATGGCTCCGCTCCTGATGGGCCCATACCAATCGATGGCCACGTGGCTGAAGAGCGAGCGGGAGGGCACGACGCCGTTTTCGGAGGCCCACGGCGGCAAGGAGGCCTGGGAGTTTATGGCGGCCGAGCCGGAGTTCGCCGGCTTGTTCAACGAAGCCATGGGCGGGGACAGCCGGCTGATCGCGGAGCTGGTGGTGAAGGACGGCAGGGACGCCTTCCAAGGCGTGGGGTCCCTCGTCGACGTGGGCGGTGGGACCGGCTACCTCGCCAAGGCCATCGCCGCTGCGTTTCCCCACGTGGATTGCACCGTGCTCGACCTGCCACATGTCGTCTCCGGATTGGAAGGCAGCGGCAACTTGAAGTACGTGGCGGGTGACATGTTCGTGCACGTCCCCGAGGCCGACGCCGTCATTCTCAAGTGGGTTCTGCACGACTGGAGCGACGAGGAGTGCGTGAGGATTCTGGAGAAAGCGAAGGCGGCGGTGAGTAGCAAGGGGAAGTTGGGGAAGGTGATGGTTATCGAGATGGTGGTGGGGAACCAGAGCCTGGACGAGAAATCGGTGGGCGTGCAGTACGGATTCGACATGGGAATGATGATCTCCGTGACGGGGAAGGAGAGGGACGAGGAGGAACTGGCCAAGCTCTTCTTTCAAGCCGGATTCACCAGCTACCACATCAATCCCATTCTCGGGGCCAGAGCTCTCATCGAGGTCTACCCATGACGTCGGGGTGTGTACGTGTTTCGGAATAATAATTAAGCATGCCAATTAATTATGATCAGGTAGCCCATTGTCGTCGTTAATATATTGGATTAGCTAGTGTTGTTGGTGTACGAGAAAGTATTCCTATTCCCCGTACGGTTCTTGTTCCAAAAAATAATGGGTTGTTTGGATCAAGGATTGTTTAATAAGGCATTTGGGCCTGAAAACCCGCATTCAGAAACCCAGATATTTCACTTCTCGGATTTGGGCCGAATCATGCGTTTGGTAATTTATGCATGTTTTCAATTAAAAAGGCAAAAACGACACTTTTGCCTATTTCTTTCTTCTTCGCCTTCATTGAAGAAACCCAGAAACGACCAGCGAAACAGCACAAGTTTAATTATTTCTTCTTCCGTTAGTTTTTCAACTGCCAAATAAATTATGCAAGCGACTGTGGCGACGACGGCTCCTTTCAACTGGTGCAAGAAAATCTGGAATGAACCCAGAACTTGAATAAGGGCGACTGTCAACGGATTCTGTTGTTGAGTTCTGATGGGAAATCGGAAGGGATACTATCTCTTCTTCTTTCTTCAGAGAACCACAAAATCAAAGCCTCTCTCCTACTGTATCACCCCCCCCCCCCCCCCCAAAAAAAAAACGAATCCACCATACCTGCAAATTTGAGATTCAGAACCCTAGATCTGGAATTGACACGGGGAGTCTTCGTTTGTGGCTCTGTCAATGTTGGTGTCGTAGTCGGCGGTTGTCGAGAAGTCATCGCCTGAACTCCTCCTTCAGCTATGGATTGGTCAATTTTGGGGAGAGAGGGCAACGACGGTGAGGTTGGGCCGCTGGTAAGTATAGGTGAAGAAGAACGAAGTGGTAAAGGATAGAAGGATAAGTTTGGAACAGATAAAAAAATAGCGAGGGATTTCAAAATAGCTGACCCCATCAGCTATTTTGAAATCCTACACTTGTGGGTTTCCAAAATCACTTGGGTTTCCAAAATCACTCATGAGCAGAATCCCACGTTTTATGGATCCCTTCCAAACGCAGAATTGTTTAAAATTCTGGACAATGAGCACTACACCAAATAGGACTTTCTGCAACGAAAATTTTTGTCGCAAGAAGCTCGTCGCCAAAAGGATAATGCGACAAATTCGTTCTTCGCCATAGGTGATTGTCTTTCGTCGCGTATATCGCGTCGCCCTAGGCTTTTTGCGACGAAAATCAAGTAGTCGTCGCCAAAGGTGAAGTTCGTCGCTGAAGGCTTATGGTTTTGCAACGATAACTTACGTCGCCAAATACATTCTTTCGCGACGATGTAAGGTCATCGCAAACCTTTTTGCGTCGAAATGATTTGTCGCAAAAAAAACTCTGCCATCACACAAGAAAGCCTTCTGGCGATGATTATATTTCGTCGCAGAAAGATTAGCGACGAACTCAACTGTCGCTAAAACTATGAAGTTTCCTAATTTTTTTTTAGGAATATTTGCTTTAAGTTTGTTTTATTTGCTGTAAATAAATAATTACCTGGTGTTGCAAACAAAAATACAATTGAAGTCTTTTCATAATAAACTAATAATATACATACAATCAAGTTCATAATTATACATTACAGAGAGTACTACTAATCTTTACAATCTTTGCTCAAATTAATAGCTAGCTCTATACATAAAACAATAGACTAAGAATATATGAAAGTTACAAATGCTATGCTCACAAGTCACTGTGTATAGGTTCTTACTTAAAATATCCAAATCTTTGAAGAGGGTAAACCAAAGCAAGACCTTCGTTATTTTATACTTCGTCAAAATATACAATCCACCGTCCAATCCTTCCGAATCGAGCTATGATCCACCGTCCAAATCCTTTTGTATTGAGTTATGATACCTGTTTTATAAGGTGAAAAAGGGAAATCCTTTTGTAAGAGTCAGGGTAAACTAAATCCAACTCGATTCCACGTTAAGCACACAAGTACAAGGAGGAAAAGACAAACAACCAAGACCAATTAAATGAAAGAAATTGGATATTCTACGTTCCTTGCATAGTTCAAAAGGAAAAGGTAGGGTACCAACCTTTTGTCTGGGTTTCTAGACAAGTTGCAGGTCAGGGAAGTGCTCATGTCATTTGATGATCTCCGGAAGAGATCCACCATTGAATCTGATATAACTGGGGAGCGGGGGATGATTTTCAGTCTCAGGGAAGGAAGTGATTCATGGTTGAGCATGAAAGGCAGGAAGAAAAAACTTCACCTGTGATGAAGGGGCGAAGGGTAGTGGGGATTCCTTGACCTATTTTACGTTAGATTGTCCTCTTTTGTTATATTTCAGGTCCTAGTTGTTTAATAAAGGTTTGGGAGCGAGTTTCGGGTCATTTGCAGGTCATTCGGCGAAGCTGGAGCAGAACACGGTCGTCCCCTACCTAGGAACGACCGTGTTTCACCCGGGGTGCGCCTGTGCTTTTTAGTGCGAGAGTGTTTTCGTCTCAGGAGCAGAACACGAGCAAGAACCGCTGGGTGATATATTTTCCCAGCACTAAGTATGACTGCTTTGATTTCTGTTTTCCTCTCTCTCTCTCTCTCTCTCTCTCTCTCTCTCTCTCTCTATGAAGTAGACCTTTCTCTCACTTGGGTATGAAGAACCCTAGTTCCATGGGTTAAGGATCTTGCTTGTAATGACTTTTGGAATGATATACTGATTGGTTTTAATCGATTGAAGGGTGTTTATTGAGTCAATTGAATCCTGGTCAACTTCTCTTGATTTATGCTTCAACCTGTGATAGATAGAATCTGATCAGATTGTTAGAGTCTCTTCAATCGATAGGAGTGAATTCATTGTACGAGAGTCAGTCAATTCACTGCTTTATACTGGAATGTGTTTCCAGTAGTGGAGTTATGTGTGATTTGCCGGATAGTCTGTCTAAGGGGGCTTGGTCAGTTTAAGAGATTCCAAGCTACTTTCGGATCTTCCGCAGTTTAATGAATAGTGAATCAACCAAAAGGAATTACAACTTGAATCTAATTAAGGAGCTAGGGGGACTCATTCCCGAGTAACTCTTCTCTTGCTTTAGAAACCGAACAATTTACTGTTTTCTTTCTGCTTTAGTTTAAACTCATTATCACTCAACTTTCCCCACTAGATAATAGATAATCACAAAGTAGGCAGTACATCTAGACTCCGGGTTGACTTTTATTACTTGATCTCACTATACTGCATTTACATTCTGCGATTACACTTGGTCGCAGTTTGGTGTTGTGTCATGGCGAGTCATCAATCCTTCACTCTTTTCTTTTAAAAAAGTCTATTGTCTCCGAAATTCCAATATTTTAATACAAAAATTATGGTACAAGTCCAAACAATCTAAAGATGAGTGGCCACCTCAATAGTCTCATCGAATTTAGATCTTCCAATCTAGTCCTGATTTCTCAATCTAGTTGAGTTCACAACGCCTGTAAGGAGCTCAGATTTTACAAAATTGTAGTTGATTGGTTTTGTTAATTTGAACCCTGTAGAGGCTTGTGTTGCTATCAAATAATTTTCTTTTTTCACCTCGCCCACCATATGCATGCCTTTTGCTGGTGAAAGTGAAACAACCGGTAGTTTTTGTTCGACTGCATTCGTTATTTTACAAATTTCTCTGCATAGTTAGCCATTCAAAAGATAATAATTCACGAATGAATGTTTTCCCAATTCTTCTAAGTTTGCATTTTTGTGTTCTAAAGAAAGAGCGCCATGTCCCTAAAGTTGTGGGACTTAAGTATTACATTTTTTAAAAATGTGTAAATATTTCTTAAAAAAAATGAAAAATAAATAAATCACACAACTATATATATGCATTGAGATAAATAGGTCTCCACGACTCGACTACCACATTTACCTTGATTCAATCTCGATTAAATCCAATTTTATACGGAATTCAAGTTGGTCTCATCTCAATTTGATCATGTGCATACCGAGTCGATCGATGTTCACAATTACCAACTACCACTAATGCCACCAATAGTAAGTATACTTCTAAATCACATGTAAAATATTTCAAACATACCCAAATTTGTGATAAAACTAATTATAATAAATGATAAAAACAAAACTCATTCAACCAATTGAGTGAATAAAAAGTTAGTTCATGCCTAAACTACTTTATCCATAAAATATATTATAGGATTTCTCAATAAGCCCTTCTCCATTTCAAATTTTCTCAAATGTCATGTGTCCACGTCAACTCTATTTTTTTTTTGTCCTTTTTCCCCGGATAAACATCCTGTTTATTTCTACGAATGGCTAGAAAACTTTTTTTTACTAGAAATCATCATGCATAACCTAGTAATTATCCTTTAAAAACAGAAAAACAATTCAACTTAATAATTACCAGTAATTGTGGCCTGTTATAAAATATTAAGGTATGGTCATGAAAAAAATGCATAATTGGTCCATATAATCGTGTTATTGTTTTATTCTCAAACTAATAATTTGTGTCTCACCACGTCAATCCTAACTATTATTTTTGGGAAGGGATATACTATAAAACTCATCCCTATAAAACCACTACAATATCCTATCTTCTACCATCCATCCCTTTCCTTATCAAAGCTAGGGGGTTCAAAGCCAATTATGGTTTTATTTACTTTTATTTCAAACAGATTTTTTTGCATCGTAAATATGCCTATTTCAGTATTTTGCCTATATGGGTGGTAGTTTAAGATGTGACTAAAATAACAAAAGTTGAGTGATTCAAACGTGATTTAAGTTTAATTAGTGTTAAAAATTACAGTATGCTATTCATACAAATATTATGGTACTAAGAATATGCGTGCCTAAGAATATAAAATTTGTTGAAGGATTATAAAGATGTCATAAATTCCCATGACATGACTTAACGCTTTGAAAATTGAATCATTGTAAGTGATTATGCTAAATGCTCAAAATTTTTGTTATAAACATAATAAATCCGCATGGCATGAGTTAATGATTTGAGAATTAAATCATTGTAAGTGATTATGCTAAATGTTCGAAATTTTTTATAAAGGGCATAATCACCTATGAATTGACAAATGAACCAAGATCCAAGAATCATATTAGTCAGTCGATTAAGAATTTGAACATTTTATTTAAGAAACATGTGAAACTAACATACTTTTAAGGTAGTTAAACATATCAAAAGAAACTTACCAGATAGAAAATATTTGAACATCCCAATATAAATGATAAAAAGAAACTGCACGGCCATTGGCCGGGGACAAAGCTAGTTATGTGTAGATGTAAATATGTAGAAATTCAAAGAACAAATCCGGATTCCTCAATGAAAGTTCATATCTTAATGAATTTTTTTGCATTCCTTTGCCTTCTGGCTTTCCAAGTCCAAACGAGATGAAAAAAATACTAAAGAAACACGAGATAAAACTTCTTCCAAACTCCAAGCAGCACATTTCAGTCATGTATTGTCATCTTTACTGCCTCACTCCTAACGGAGTCAAAGAGTGCAGTAGACAGGTATCGCTCTCCTGCACTGGGGAAGATCGCCTGTACCAGAAATCAAGCAAAAGAAAAGTAAAATGAAAACTTGCGTTGCAAGGTTCAAAAATTATCTTCACAGAACAAACAGCTTCCGTGAGAGGAACTCACAATAATGAGTTTGTCCTTGTTTTCAGGCCTCTTCCCTAGTTTGATAGCAGCAGCAGCTGCGGCGCCTGATGATATCCCAACCAACAACCCTTCTTTCAAAGCCAGAAGTTTGGCTGTTTCAATGGCTTCTTCACTTGATACCTGAAACAATAAAAGAGACCATCAAAAAGGAAAAATCCAAAATCACTTCGTTCTTTCCACTGTGACTTACCATAACAACTTCATCAAGTAAGTCCTGATTCAGTACAGGAGGGATGATCCCAGCACCAATTCCTTGGATCAAATGCTGAGCTTTTGACATTTGTGCATGGCCAAGCAAAGCGGGTCAGGTACAAGAGTTATGAGAAGATTATACATTTTGGCATTTGCATTTAATGTTTTCAAATGAGTAGTTTCATAGCTCACCAGCCTTTCCTCCATTCAAGACAGAACTTTCAAATGGCTCTACGCCATATACCTAGATTACAAACGGCAAGGGAAAACATATTGCAGACAGTTTTAGTTGCTCGCTCTTCTTTGCCTGGCATGACACAAACAAGGAAACCATACCTTGATTTCTGGGTTTTGCTCCTTAAGAAACTGGCCAGTTCCAGTCACAGTCCCACCAGTCCCTATGCCAGAAACCAGCGCATCAACTTTACCTCCTGAGTCCCTCCAGATCTCTGGTCCAGTAGTTTCATAATGAATCTAACACCATTGGCATGAAAGAAGTGAAACACTTGTTAGAACCGACTCATAACCAGAAGAACGGGTTACATGTCAGAATCTCAGCAAATGAGGCATTCTTTAGACCCGAAGGATTGTGCAAGGAGTTCATATTTGGCATATGAATGCTTTTCAATATAGGTTTTTGTGTGGTCATAATTACTCTATAAAGAACCACAATAAGAACATAGTAATCCCTAGTAGATGTCGGCACACTTGCTAAAACAAGTGGATTAGGTGTCATGTGTAATTGCTTGTTTTTTCTAGTATATTCTTCTCCTTTTGACTCGTTTCCATCAGAATCATCCAGCTGACAAGTAACAATAACAACTTCTGAATTGGCAGAACATATCGAAAGAATTTTGTTTCAAATGGTTACCAGTGGATTTGCAGAATTCTCAAATTGCTTGAGCATGTAACCATTTGGTGTGTTGCTTACTAGCTCCTCACACTTTTCCAATGCCCCATTGAATCCCTTGGCTGGATTTGTTAGGACAACCTCGGCTCCAAGGGCCAAAAGGACAATCCTTCTCTCAATGCTCATTGAAGATGGCATGACAAGAATAACTCTGTAACCTTTTGCTGCAGCTATGGATGCCAGACCAATGCCAGTGTTTCCACTAGTAGGCTCAATCAACACCGACTTGAGCCCGGAAAAAAGAAGAGAAAACTCATTGTCAAACTAAAGAGGAGGATTATTCAGCTATGAACAAAAACAACAACAACAAAAAACAACTACAACTATTACTCCTGTTAAAACTAAACTAACCTTCCGTGGGGTTATGAGGCCTTTATCTTCAGCATCTTTGATCATACTATATGCAATCCTGGGTAAACTTGAAATGGAAAATTCAGGACTTGACTCTAACAACAAGAAACTTAGGGGGGAAATAAAATTTTGAATAAAACAACTTGTAGCGTGTAAAATAGCATGCCTATCTTTAACACTAGAGCAAGGTTCCATGTTTTCAAGCTTCGCCACAATTCGTGCTCCACAACCATCCACAATCTTGTTCAAGTATACCATTGGAGTGTTGCCTATTAACTGCAGAAGTAGATTTTGAGCAATTAACTCAATGTTACTTTGAATTTTTGTTTTCTAGGGGTCAATCCAGCAATAAACTTAAGGTAATTGAGGTAATGCAGTCAGAAATAGCATAACTTACTTCACTAACATCACTTTTAATCATATAGCTCTGCGCCATTGACTCTCACTAAAGAACCTGCAACACCCACATATAAGACAATTGCCACAGTAAAGAAAGCTGCAATCTTTCTACTTGGAGATTACATACCAGTTTGCTTAATAAGCTTCTGAGCAATCATACCGGTTAAAACCAACCCAATATAAGTTCCATAATCTTGCCCACAAATTGGATGGAAGGGGAGAAATATAAAAAAAAAAAAAAAAAGGAGATTTTCTTTACCAAAAGACCCAAAGAAGGAACAGTAAGAGCTGCAAACCTGGAGACTCTTATTGAGGCCAACAAAGCAAGAGTATTTCTTACTTCGATGAAGGAAAAGGAAGAAGAAACTAAGGAGTCGTTTGCTTGATGGATTTGGGTCATGGATTTGGGACTCAAATCCCAAGCATGATGGATTTTAGCCAAGTCCATTGTTTGTTGTCAGGTGTTAAATCCGTGGGGTTCACGGATTTATTCCCTTTTTTGGATCCAAATCCGTGGACCCCACGGACTTGTAAATTCCACATATTGGGGTGGGATTTGTAAATCCTTGATGGCTAGTTATATTTATAGCAAATCCATCATAATTATATCATCAAATCTATCATGCAAACAATAGACTCTTCAAATCCATGATGGTACAAATCCCTCATAAATCCAAAGGTTTTTTTGAGCCAAAACCCTCATTTTTCAAATCCAACAAGCAAACGACCCCTAAGGGACAAAACAGGTGAGTTTTTTTAACTGACAAGTGATAACCTGACTGGATACCCCCCAAACAACTAATCCCATGATATTAAGGTCATCAGGCTGTAGACTTTCTTTTGGCTGCTTTCTGTGATTGTGACATTATTCATTGTGCACAAAGATTCCATGTTCAAATGGGTCCCAATTTTGTCATGCATCCATTTGAATAACAAAAAATGGCCTTAAATGAAGAAGACCCAGCCAGCCAATCCTACTCCTATATCCCCACAAGCAGCCAACCATGGGTCAAGCCACAAACATTTAATCAGTGGCTGATGTGGATTAGGTTAAAAAAACAACGGGTTAATCGAATATACCACACAGGAGGATGAGTGAATTTGAGAAGGGAAAATATTATAAAAGGGAAGCTGAGTGCAACAGTTCAACATACTTACCTGGACGGGATCAACGGGCGATCAATAAGGCTTGTGGTCTAGGCCAGTGACTTCCATTGCACATATAGGAAGGGTGCTGGGCTAAGGTCCCCTCATAGAAGGAGAGCCTACGTCATAATTTGTGGCAGCAAGGGCTTGCGTCCGCGCAGCCCCTATCCAATTTAGTCAAAAGGTTTATGGGCCTTAAATTATGGGCCAGATGATGTTTAGATGTTGGGCAAGGCCAGCCTCACAGAAACTTGCAAGGGGCCAATGATGTTTAGATACTTCATAATCAGGCCCTTTAATCCAATCCCTCAATGAAAGTTGTTGGCTTGTGTATTAACGATAGAAGTTCCAGGAGTAAAAATTTAAAATTTATGTTTCCTTGTAAGGAACTGTATGTGTTCGTGTTCTTCTTTTGCTCAATGGAAGGTCATGCTCTCTGCCTTGCGCCTTACAGAATCAAATAGCTTGGTGGACAAGTACCGTTCCCCTGCGCTAGCGAAGATGACCTGCGTGCATCCAAAAGTAGAAGGGTCTGAAGATGGTGGAGGGTGGAATTTACCAGTAAACAAAATTTGTGAAAGGTAACAGTAAAAATGAAAGATTGCTAACTTTTAGAGTAAGCAATTCAAGGCGAGGCTATAGTTACAATAAAAGCATTTACCACAATGAGCTTTCCAGCATTTTCAGACATCTTGGCGAGGTTCAGAGCTGCAGCAGTAACGGCACCTGAAGAGATTCCAACCTATTGTTGAAGCAAAAGAAAGGAAGGTCATTGTTTCGCCTTTTACATAAAAGTTTCATCTCGTCCTACTTAAAACTACAGCTATGTGTAAACAAACTGTTAAAGATTGGAGGACTGGTTTTTGCTTTTGAAAATTTACCAGCAAACCCTCCTTAAGAGCAATTAACTTGGCAGTTTCAATGGCATCCTCACTCGACACCTGAAAATCATTTGTTTCTTCAAGTCATTTCCCCTCTTTAAGCCCTATTTCTATACTAGCAGGACTAGGATGGAGTTCATGCAACTATCAGGTGGCTTACTGGGATGACTTGGTCAAGCAGCTGTACATCCAGAACATCAGGCACAATCCCAGCACCAAGGCCTTCAATATGATGCTTACCTTAAACCACAAGATCCGACAAGAATGACAAACATCAATCAAACATGTTACTGCAAAACCTTATAAGTTCCAAAAGCAAATTGACTATACCAGGTTTTCCTCCATTCAAGAAAGCACTTTCTGCTGGTTCTATGCCATAAACCTGTCAAATTGAGGTTTTGACAGATGGGATTCATCAGAAAACTAATAAAGGAGTACAACAAAAAGGACCAGAGGAGGGGGTGGCCAGGAAGAGAAAAAACAAGACCTTAATCTCAGGATTTTTCTCCTTGAGGAATTTGCCAGCACCCGTGACTGTACCGCCAGTGCCTATACCGGCAATTAGAACATCAACTTTCCCACCTGAGTCTCTCCATATCTCTGGGCCAGTTGTTTCATAATGAATCTAAAACACAAAAGACAATCAGGACCCAATTCATGAGATTACCCTTGTTTAATTCATTGAAACTGGGTTCTAATTAAGTATCACCAAGAAGTTCGAACAAACACACTTCTTAAATAAGCCTGTATTTCCAATCTATATTTCCCTATCAAATAGTATACTCCTTCCACTCTTGGCACATTACACAAAAATGCAAATGGATGAAGAACAAGTACCTGTGGATTAGATTCATTGACAAATTGATCAAGCATATGGCTATTAGGTGTGACCTTCAGTAACTCCTCTGCCTTCTCCATAACGCCATGAAAGCCCTTTGCTGAATCGGTGAGGCACAACTCTGCTCCAAGGGCTAGCATCAAGATTCTTCTCTCCATACTTTTAACCGTTGGCATCACAGCAATGACTTTGTAGCCTTTTGCTGCTGCCACTGCTGCTAATGCAATGCCGGTATTACCACTAGTTACCTCAACGAGGACGGTCTTTTTTGGTACATACATTAACAGAATTAGAACGTTTAGAACTTGTCCGTACAAACCCAGGTGATAAAAACACTTTCTGTAAGGTAGTACACAGTTTCAGCTTGCCAACCTACCTTCCCGGGTGTGATCAAACCCTTCTCTTCTGCATCTTTGATCATGCTATGTGCAATTCTGTTTATGCCAATGGAAAAGACACAAACTCGGATGGTTGGTCTCAAAGCAATTCCAATGGTATTTCCAGAATTCAGACCGCATGAATTATAACTTCACCTGTCTTTAACACTGAAGGCAGGCTCCAGGCACTCAAGCTTAGCAGCTATTCGGGCTACACAACCTTCGGTTATGTTATTGAGATAAACCATCGGCGTATTTCCAATCAACTGCCGAGTTTTTACCAAAGGAATAATGAGAGATCAAAGTTTTTGTTGAAAGCAGGCATCATCTTAAAATGGAAGGTTAAAACTGAGAATGAAAAAGGACTAGAGTTACTTCAGTGATGTCTTTCTTGATGGCACACTTGTTCTCCATTTTTCCTTGTCAGCAAGAACTCTGCATTCACAATGCAAAACATCGTAAGTGGGAACCAGGGAAAAGCATAATTAATGTCTTCCTTGGTCAACGAAAAGCTTGGTACAGGATCAAACCCCATAAAAGAAAGTCAAACCAGAGCCCCAAAAACCAGCTGACCCAACTGGGGGAAAAGAGTCCCACAGAGTACATAAAACCAGCAGATTTAGAAACCAAATCCATACCATCGATCATAAGACTATATGTAAAAGATATTTAGAAGAAGTACTGCTTTTTGGGAAACAGTGGTTAGTGGCTACTACTTGCTAACCTGTAGAGAAGAAAGTCCCAATCCATAAAACTCAGGCTCGGATTAAATAATAACAGTAGTAGAATCCTTACCTCGCAGTTGTGTTCCTCTCGGAGCTTTCAGTTCCAGTAATTGTAGCTTCTGGGCGAGTCACAAAAGCTCCAGCATCATTCCAAGTTAGGACCACTGGCGGATCAGGGGGTGGCCACCCCAGGTCCCGGCCCGGCCCTCCTCTAGATCCGGTGTTAGTATAGTCTTTATGAATTTTCGATTTTAGACATTCGACCCCGTGTTATTTTATAATAAGATTGGTTATAATTAGAAAAATGATTTCAGAATCAAGATTTAGCCTAGAAATTTTAGCCCTAAAGATTATTCGTATAAAAAAACAATGAACCTAAAAGTCTAAAACGTAAAAGACTAAAAGATATATGAGGTTTGTTTCCTTAAAAATTTAGTAATTTACTAGAGCAGCTAGTGGATATAGGGATGGACACACAATGCAAATTGATTAGTTGATTGATTTGTCTAGTGTTGACGCTGCTAGTTCCAACAGCTACTACAGAGAGAACCTTTTCAACAATGAAACATGTGAAAACTGATTTGCGCAATAAAATAAGCGATGAATTTCTCGCCGATTGCTCAAGTATTTTATTTGAAACAGTGTATACTATTGGTATGGATGTGGACTCCATTATTGATGCATTTGCTAAATTAAAATACCGTTGTGTACAATTGACATTGTAAAAAAAAGGTTAAATACACTTGTATATCCAAAACTTTCACGTTTGTGCCAATAATATCCAAATTTCCCGAAATACCACTTATATCAAATTCCTTCACATTCTTTAACGGTGTTTTTGGATATACAAGTGTATTTAACCAATAATATATTGGGAAATGGATATATTTGGCAAAGAACAACTTTAAAACAAGGATATAAGTGGTATTCCGAGAAATTTGGATATTATTGGCACAATCGTGAAAGTTTTGGATATACAAGTGTATTAAACAAAACAAAAAACTATAGTCATTATTTTTTTACGGTTCTAATTTTTTAATGAAATACGGCCCAGTGTTCTAGATCCGCCGCTGGTTAGGACCAAGACTGAGGCTCCGCTCTCGACGTGGGGAGAAAAGAAAAGCCCGCTGATCGACACGTTCATCCATTGTAATCCGGATACGGTAAGAAAAATGGACCACACCCACAGATTGACTCGATGCATGATTATTGGGTTGGAGGTCACATATTGTTATTTTTACCTTTATGTAAAACACGCTTCTTTTTTTTTTCCTCTTCGTCTAACTCTATCTTTGGAATTCTAAACTGAAATTTGAATGATGTTTTATAAGTATGTGTGAATTTTCACTATAAGTTGGATGATGTACGATATATTATTTTGGTGTAATGTTATATGTTATTACTCATATGATGATATTTTATATAATTCATATATATACTTATATCTGGGTTAATCAGGCTAAACCGGTCAGACCATTAACCCTCAACTCACTTGCTCGACCAGAACAACGGGCTAAACCCGGTTGACAACCTACATATTAATTTAAGGTACGGTACCTAAACTTAATATATGTTAAGATTCAGTACCTAAAATTATCCTTTCTACATATAAGTCTTAAAAACACGGATGAAATATTACATTTTCGTACCTAAATTTTTTTATGTATTACATTTAAATACCTAAACATTTTAAAATTTACAAATAGGTCCAAGTTGATGAGGTTTCTGGTATGCTTTAAGAAACTTGTGGTTTGCTTTATGAGGTCTCTAATATGCTTTAAGAAAATGTTAGAAACATAATTTCTAACGGACTCGCGAATTGGATTGACATTTGGGATTTTAGGGATTGTAGAAGAGTATTGGGGATTTAGGGATTAGAAGATAGAAATATGGATTGAGATTGAGAATTTGGGGGAAAAAGAAGAATAATAGAATAGAGAATCGGCTGAGGCCTTAGAGGGCTAGAGATTGAGAAATTAGAGGATAGAAGATTAAGGTTTTTATGAAAGAATGAAAAAGTACATATTTATAGAGAATATTAGAAAATCCTAATAATAATCCTAATTTTACTAAAATACTACTAACCATATTAATAATACTAATTTATCTATCTATACTTAATATCTATCTATCTATCTATCTATCTATCTATATCTATCTATCTATATATATCTATATCTATACTAAATATTATGGCTATTCAAAAATAACTTCTTGCCACATAAGCACTTGGTGAATGCACAAGTTGCCAAGGTGGACAATTGTTTTTCAAACAAAAAACTATTTATTGATCTATTTATGAAGTTGTCTCTCTCTTCTTTTAATAATTCTACTCATTTTTACTAAAATTAAAATAAGTTAAATTTTTAGGAAACATTTAAACAAAAAACACACACCTAAGTAATAAAAAAAATTCGATTAAACAAACTATAAAGATGGAAACAGAGAGTGACATATATTGTATTTGTTTAACCCAAACTAATTAAATCTGATTAAGTAAATTTTCTACTCATTTTTACTAAAAATTAATAATAAGTTACATTTTGATGAAGAAAAAAACAAGCACACACATAAATATTAATATTTTTCAATACAAAATATAAACGATGATCTAAGAGAAAATAAACGTTTGACAATCAATCGATTTTGAGAAATGAACGATATGACTATATGTTTTTTTGCTTTCAAACACTCACTTATACCTATCAAATAAAACAAGTATAAATTATATAGCAAAATGTTTGAATATAAACTTGACAGAACAATAATTGTTATTTTTTTAAAAACTTCTGATTCATTCCGATTAAATGAAAACATATTAATTATTAATGCAAACTTTTAATTTGTTTCTATCCCTTTCCCCGTTTTGATTGTCTCTCTAGAAATAAAATCTAACATTGAAAATAAGAAATCAATAAAGTATGTCAACCACCATAAAAACAAACAAAGCTCTCTTATTAGTTGCTAAATTTTTTGAGATTTCTAATGTTTGTATTCTCATAATTTATAGAGAAGGAAATGGTAATGCATACGATTTTTTTTCTTTGTATGAGAATAGGAGGCAGAAATTACACGAGACAACGATAAGATGACAAAATTTTGAGCAGTTGTAACATATTTTTGCCTATTGACGAAAAAAGTTAATATGATCATTGTGAAGATGAGGTGAACCAAACCGAGGGTTGTCGACTGCTCCCTCTTCCTCCTTGATATGAAGCTGGCAACTGGTCTCACTTTCTCAGCGATATGTTATTGTTTGCGGTTGACTGGCCGAGTTATACTATTTTTCCCATTCTTTTCTTAATTTCTTCCAAATTACGACTGCTGGATGGTAAATTTTCCCACTCTCGATGAGTGAATATATTTCTTCTTTGTTTTTTACTGAGAAGGGTCGCCATATACTTTCATGTATATAAAATATAATTAGAAGGGTTAATTGGTTGGACTTAGGGCATACCTCCTTTGGTTGAATAATTGATCGTTTTTCTTGAATGCCTATTGCAACCCGATTTCTTGAATGTTGAAATGGAAAGTAGAGTTGTGATGATTGTTTATTATATTTTATGTTCATGATTGACATGCTACTACTAGCTAGCTATACAATGATGATCTGGTTAGTAATTAGTAGGTAACAAAGGGGTTATAAGTAGAAGAGAACATAATTTGGGTTGTATAAAGGTCGCAAGGAAGAAAGAAAATGATAATGGTGGTTTCTTGGTTGTCTATTTCGATGATTTTTTAATTTCTACATGTTTGCGGTGACATTTGTTTGTTTCATTAAGGTGAATTTTTCTGCATTGAATCTCTAACTAAAGATTTATTTTGACATAATTGTTTTCTTACAAACTACTATTTGGATTGACGCATATATTCAGTTCACAAATGAGGAATCTGAATGATAAAATGAGTTGAGTTGTATTGAAGACTGCTCTTTTCATTATTTGTCTATGTTGTTATTAGGTAATAAAACACAATTCTTTTCTGCAGGAGATATGTAGCTCTCTACAAAATATAAATTGTGTTTAATTATATGCAGTTTAATTTGCTGAAAATATTGCTTTAATAAGTTAGTGACAGTTGATAGTTTTGTTTGTGGTTGGTTTTGCTAGAACATTTCAAGGTAATTAAACAAGTACATGGAAGATTGATGGACGTGGATGCTAATGAGTTTCCTCATTATTCCAAAATTGTATGTGTAAGTGATAATACACGATATTCATGGGATTTAGATCGGAATATTCTATATTATCATATACCGACATATGAGAAGAGAGATAAAATAAAAAGCTCTTCGCTTATTTTTATTATTATTAATTGAAGCACATTTTCTTATTCTAACTTCTTCTTTTGTGGCCGTAAGTTTTTTAACTTCTTTGTCACAATTCTGTGCTAAAGAATGAATAATCTCTTATGTTTATAATCTTAAAGGGCGAGTTCGATAAAAAAAAATCTAAATCAATAAAGAACCGTCTACAAAGAACTCAGTTAATAAAATTAAAATGTTCATAAATAAACAAAAGGTATAAAAGTATGAAATAATACCTGAAATAAGGTAAGTGGGATTTACAATTCCATGTATATTACCTTAGCAAACATAAATAATAATAACAATTAGCATACTATAACGAATTATAAAACAACCAAACAAAATACACCGCCCAACGGGCGGGTAAAAAACTAGTTATTATTATTATTATTATTCAAAAATAACTTCTTGCCACATAAGCACTTGGTGAATTCACAAGATGCCAAGGTGGACAATTTTTTTACAAACAAAAATTTATTTATTGATCTATTTATGGAGCTATCTCTTTCTTCTTTTAATACTTCTACTCATTTTCACTAAAACTTAAAATAAGTTACATTTTTTTGTGAAACATTTAAACAAACAAACACACATAAGTAATAATCTTTTCTTCAATTAACAAACTATAAAGATGAAAATAGAGAGTTACATATATCGTGTTTGTTTAACCCAAAAATATCTTATTAAATCTCATTAAGTAAATTTTTTATTCATTTTTACTAAAACTTTATAATAAGTTACATTTTGATGGAAAAAAACAATCACGCATCTAAATAACAATAATTTTTCAATTAAAAAAAATTTAAACGATGGCATAAGAGAAAATAAGCGTTTGACAATTAATCGATTTTGAAAAATGAACTACATGACTATATATATATATATATATATATTTTTTTGCCATAAAACACTAACTTCTTCGTGATGCATATACTTATAAAA